AGGCACCGCACGCGTCACCCCCAGCCTTTGGGGGAAAACGGGTCCGAAACGGGACGCGTTTGTGCTGGAGCCCGTTCTTCAGCGCTGCCGGCGCGGCGCAGCGTTACTCACCCAGCTCGCAGGCCAGCCCCGTCCAGCCCTCGGGGCAAGCACAGAGCCCCGTGGCAGGGTCACACGTGCCACCGTTCTGGCAGAGGCAGCGCTGGTGGCAGCTCCTCCCGTAGAAACCCACCGGGCACGCTGCGGGAAAACCAAGGCAAACATCCCCGTCAGAACACAGCTCCGAAGGCAAACCCCGGCCAGAGCGATGGCCTGATACAAACCGAAGCCATTATCGCTTGCAATGAGAGGGAGGGAGAGGAGCCAGCGACACCCTGAGGCTGCTTATCTGCCCACACGAAGACATTTGGTATTTTAACCTGCTCAGGTAAGAGGCAGTGACGATGCAGGGCACTGGGTGCCTGACCTCTTTAGAGCCTTCGTAGCTCTGGTGGCGGCAAACGCACAAAAGGAAAAAGGCTGGGTAGGTTCAGGAGCCAGGAGAGATGCTCGTAGGCAGCCAGCGCCTTTGGTCCTGAGCTGCAGACCGCCCTCCTCTCCCAGACCCAGACAGTGCCAGCGCTTGGCAGAGAAAAAAAGCCATTTAACCACGTGAATCATTGTTCTCCTGCGCAGTTTCACTGAGCTGTGCCTAAAGGCACCGCCGACTTGGTGCCTGAATGCTCAGCGCAGCGGACGGTCAAGTTGCTGCTCTATGAGCTCCTACGGAACTGCAAGGCAGTGCAACTTCTGGTGCTCTTGGAGAAGGTGAACTCTTGCCTTCTCTCTTTGTGGGTGAATCAGGAAGCGCTGCACAGCTAACTACGACCTTGCTACTGTACTGTCTCAGCCTTTTGTAGCTGCTGCTCCACTGAAAACTCCGACCCACCCTGAGAAATGGCATTTCTAACGCATTCTGGCAGAGGAAGCAGACAGTCTGGGTTAGGAAGCGGCCGTGAGGTGTGTTACCTTGCTGGCACGTGGGTCCTGTCCACCCGGCTGCACAGAGACATTGCCCACTGACGTGGTTGCAGGTAGCGTTATTGAAGCAGTCGCACGTCTGGCTGCAGTTCTCGCCGTACCTGTTCTCCTGGCACACTTTGTGGGAGCAGAAGCAGGTGTAACTGTTAGGTAGCAGGTATGTATTACACCAGCCAGACCCCTACCAACCGTCCCAAATGCACTTGTTCAGGAGAGGAACCCACACTGGTGCGTGGCTGCTTTGGACGGCTGTGGGAGTTGGTTTTTAAGTGCTATGGGGAAATAACAGCCGTATTCTGCAGGTGGCTGACATCCAAACACGGTCAGTGCTGTTATCTTCAATTTTATCTATTAGGAAACTGTTTTTCCAGACACCCAAGCCCTCACTGCATTCAACAACAGTGTGCTCAGCCTGAGCCCTCCAGCCCCTCTCCAAAACCAAATACCACACAGAATTAACGTCCATGCAGAGAAAAATCACGCGTAGGGGACAGACACCCAAACCTCTGGGCTCTGCAGCCCAGCAGCACAAGAGACAGCGAGGGCTCTGGAGTGCCTCAGAGGGCTGCTCCTGCCTGGTCCCAGCCCAGCCCAGCCCAGCCCAGCCAGTGACACCCACCCTGGTCGCAGCGGGGGCCGTCCCAGCCGGGGGAGCAGCGGCACTGGCCCGTTGCATGGTCACAGCGGGCGCCGTTCAGGCAGTCACAGGCTTGCTGGCACTCTAGCCCATAAAATCCATCGGGACAGGCTGTGGAAAACAAAGGAGAAATCCCCACAAAATGCCTGTACAAAGAGCTGGAAATCTCCCAGCAGAGCAGAGGTGCCTCTTGGTGGCTTTTTATATCGATATAACGCTGCACCAGTGTGACAGCAGAATTTTGGATGCCTGTCCATTACGGACGTCCAAGGTACAGGACAAAGCTGCGGTGCATCAGAAGAGCGATAGCATCAGGTTTCTGACCACCAAGGGACCGAGCAGGCTGGCGGGGGAGCCAGCACCCTGCACCCAAGGGACCCCTTGGAGAGGCTGCTCCAAGACGGTGGGTGCAACGTGTGTGCACACACGGGTGACCGAGGCAGCTGTGCATTTACTCCTTGCTTACATTTTGTTAGTTGTTTTTTTTTTTTTCCTAGACCTTTTCCTTTCAGAATTAAAACCAGAGGCTCAGCAGCTTCCAGACATGCGGTTTCCCCCATCGCCATCCCGAGGGATTCTCTTTGCCGTAACAGAACAGCAAAGCCAGACAAGGAGGGCTGACCCCACCGGCAAGGAGACTGTGGTCCGTGGGAGCTGCTGGCAGCGCTGGGTCCCCAGGCACAGGTACTTACGGTGCTCACAGAAGGTTCCTCGCCAGCCCGGGCTGCAAGTACAGGCCCCGCTGACGTGGTCACAGGCAGCCCCGTTGTCACACTGACATTGGTGCCGACAGCTCAGCCCAAACCATCCTTCCGGGCACTCTGGCAAGCAGAAGCAAACGAGACTGAGGAGCCTGTCCTGTCCTGGCGTCCCCAGGAAGATACGCTAAGGCAGGAGCTCGGGCTCTGAATGGAAAGAACAGTATCTGGCAGCTGCTTTCTTATAACGACCAGCGGGCTCTACCCTGCCCCTTGCAGACGGGTACCCACGTCACCCAGGACAGGACCGGCAATGTCACAGTCAGGGCACGGGGACTGAACTCCTGTGCCTGAACCAAGAAGCACTTGCTGGAGGAATCCGCACCGCTGCTTCCCCCTCTCCCTCCACAGGGAGAGGGCAGAAGTCTCCTGCCCTGCCCGTCCGCTGCCCTCCCCCTGGCACACGTTTTTCGCTCGAGGCGGAGCGGGCCAGCCCCCGCAGCACTCCCTCTTCTCGCAGCGGCCGCCCGTGTAGCCGGCTTCGCAGAGGCACTGCCCTGTCTCCGCGCTGCAGCTCCCATCGCTGTTGCTGCAGTTGCAGGCGTGAGCACAGTCGGGGCCCCAGCGACCCGCATCGCAGGCTGAAACACAGGAGGGAACGGACCCTTAGTGCCGGGGGCTCCACTTGCTCAGCTTCTCCGGTGAGCACAGGCGTGGGACCAGCGCCGCCTTCTCCTCGGGCTGCTACGTCCATCGATTACCACCGCTCACGTGGGCAGAAGGACAAGCACGGCTGCAGGTTTGCAGAAAACCCAGCAGGACAGTGAAAGCGGGTGCAGGACGTATTGGATGGGAATCCCTTCTGCAAGCAAGCAAGGCCTCTACGGAAAGGCAAGCGGCACCTGGCAGCACTGGCAGGACAGAGCGGAGAGAACTAAAGGATTTCAGAGATTTTTCTGGCAGAGGCACAGCACGAGGACGACAATGAAGCAAACCACAGCGCAGCTCCGCACAGGTCAGTGTCTCCTAGGAGCGACGGACAACGAGCAGCGGGCACGATACCTCTCTGACAGTTGTACCCCGTCCAGCCAGGTGCGCAGCTGCACGTCCCCGTCACAGGATGGCAATGTCCCTCGTTCCCACAGCTGCAGCTCAGCTGGCAGTCCGGGCCAAACCAGCCAGGCGGACACACTGCCAAGGTAGACACGGACCAACTGCCAACGGCTGCTGGAACACCGCAGCGAGGGTTTCCCTCCCGAGAGCCCCGACGGGTGCCGCAGCGCGCTCCGCCACCAGCACCGACGTGGGTGCTCAGCTCTGGGCTGAACGGGCCGAGGGGCTCAGGGATTTACCTCCCTTTCTGCTGACGCAAAAGTCACCCCCGT